GCTACGCTTTCTTCAGCTAGATTTCCTGTACGAATCTCCCTGACCTGAGGAAGGCCAGTATGTCCGTCCATTCTAAAATGATCAACTCTTCCTGTTGGAGTTTGTCGACCCCAATGATTTCAAATCTCAGCCACCCGTACGCCTCGCACTCGCCGAGAAAATGAAGTGACGTTTCTTAGTCTTCCCCACATCTGCGGTAAGTGGGGTTGTCCTCTATTCCCATAGTGTTAAGGTACACCAGGGTAAGTGTAAATTTGGGGCAAGTGGAAACCAGGCTGATGATCATTACATTTTTGTCTATAAGGTGGCTCTGTCTATCGCATAATGAACCTACCCATTTCCCCTGAATGCTCAGTGATATATCAAGCTACCAACCCACGAATTACGGTTCGACCTAGCCGATGTTTTGGATAGTATATTATATAGCATACCGAGCTACCACGTATAGGGGAAAGTGGAACCACGTATAGGGGAAAGTGTAACCACTTGTAACCTATGTTAGGTTCCACTTACCACTGTTGAATCGTGCATCAAATATTCGTTATCTTCAAATGCAAAGACAATAAATTTCTTCAAGAGATTTTGCATAACTACGTACGGAAGAAGGCGCCACTGAAATACTCCAAGGACAGTCTCAGTTACACTTGCCCCATGGATATGGGAGCTATTGAAATTCGCTGTTCCACTTACTCCGGTGTACCTTAGGGGTTATGGTAACCGGTCGTGATGCCAGGAAATGCTGGCAGGCCACCATTAGCCTATTGCTGAATGAAACATTATGTTGAGCAAAAGAATATTCCAGATGCCAAGAATTCATCGTAGGCTGACAGACAAGGCATCTTGGGCTGATAAGAGAACGACAAAGATGTGACAAGCTCAGAATATATGTTTAGTGTGTGGCGAATATATACGGGAGAAATGCAGATATTTGGTTGAAACGCAGTATCTGTGGCGATTGACACTGAAAAGAAAATGTGTACTTGTGATTTTGTGATCATTGCCATAAAATAATCTACTTATCAAAAAAATGCTCAGAGGGCCACTATTGCCTTTCTCTCCCCTACCCAATGACGGCTAAATATCAAGTAAGCTGCCGACCTGAACCAGCTCACTTGATATTTAGCCGTTATTGCCCTACCTATGCCTATACATATAGGTTGCGTGCACGATGACCGACCATGGAGGTAAAACATTGAAACCAAGGCTCACTTTTTGAAAAATTGGAACACAACCTCACTTTGCTTAGTAGTTTTTCACAATATTTTGTCATACAAATCGTGTTTTTCCAGCTATTCATTAATTCAAGCATGCCACCACATTGTGGTGTTGTACAATTTACCAAAAATGCAGCGAGAGACGAAGGAATATGATTGTTTAGGTAAATAGTGATTTTGCATAGTTTTCATTATGGAATTTTGTCATTTCTCATCAGAATTCCTTCTGCCACTTCTGCAATAGAAGCTAATAGGTACTGCTAATCAAGTGGAAATATCAACACAACACACTCGTTCGTCAGCATGTCATACCAGTCCTCCCGTTTGATTACATGAATCCAATCTTCTTGCTTTCTTTTAAAAACTTCACGAGTATTTCTATTAGCTCCTGTTGCAGAAAGGATTCCAATGAGAAATGACGAAATTCCAAAATGAAAACTATATGTGAGTGATGACAGTACTTTTAGATAACAATGTACCTACCTGAAAAATCGGATGCCTTCGTATCTCGCTGCATTTGTTGTGCATTGTACAACAGCACAATGTGATGGCATGCTTGAATGGGCGAGTGGACTGATAATGATTTATTGGCATTCAATTACTCCACTGTGTCGTTAGAAACCTACAAATTGATTTTTGCAACATTTCTCACGCTTTTTGTATGTAAATAATACGGTCTATGCATTGTTCAAAATCGTTGAATTTCAGAGCTCATTTCAAACGTAACGTCATGGCAGCCATTTGGCGATACGTCGTATAAATGGTAACGTTAGTTTTTATGCTACTCATGAAGCAAGGTTGTCAAGTCACCCATTATAATCAAGTTATCAAAAAGATGTTCGAGTCCTGTCGTTGAATAAAACATCATTGGAGGAACTCTTGACGTTTTAGTTCATTCTTGACTTTTTCGAGCAATCAGCGTGTCCAAATATTTCTAATTTTCCATAAAAAATTATCATGTGAATGATGGAGACTTGGCAACATTGTGCTAAATGTAGAGAACTGACAAGACCACGCCCACAAGTCGTGCGCGGGGTTGTCACGTTCACCGATTCAAATGTCCTCTATAGTGTGAATGAATATCATTATTATTTACTCAAATTTACTATAAGCAATTCGCCACATATTGTCAAGAAGTATAAATGCCTAGGAATCAACACCACTCAAACTCTCGTTCGATTCAAGATCTTCTATCATTAATTAACTTTTCCAAATTGAAACAATCAGTACATTGCAGTTCGATCAGGCCAGCGGAGTTCATAGACATCATTTCCTTTATAATTTGCAAAGAAATCGCTTACCGCGGCGATAATACCTAGGTAAGCGGTATCGTAAGCTAACGACCGTTCCCAGTGTGGAAAATAGCGAACCTAGCATCGATTCCGAATATAAATAGTACCCGAATCGATGAGGCAATTATTCATTATTTATAATTAATTATCGACACAAGTCATTCTAGTGAATATCAAAAGAAAATGTTCGCCGTCCTCCCAACTTCAAGCCTACTGGTCAACCCCCTGCTAGACGTAATAATGTAAGAGCTGTTTTTTTTCCAGTGTTGTTTTGCGTTGTTCTTTTTTTTCTTTTGTTAACCTGCCATGTGGCAGCATTTATTCATAAAACTTTTCATTCAATTAATAAATGTTACTTTTCTATGAAAACTGTCCGGTCTCTTTATTTGGGGGTGAATGGGGTTGGATGGTGAAATGATCAAAATCCTCTCATTAAGCCAAGCGAGTAGCCAAGTTACGATCCATAGGAGGCAACATCTGAGTTGCGCCGTTTGCCAAATAATCTACCAAAACCATCTGAGTTGCGACAATATTAAAGGTGACCTTTTGAGACAATTGAGTTTGTATTGCTAATTAGGAATATTACTAATACTCCATTGAGAATTTATGAATTATTGAATAAATAATATTCCTGCAGTTCCCAATCTTATTTCAACGTGATTTCAACACATGGCAACTGTGGTATGGTCTGCTCCTACTTACGAAATCGTGGATTCGTGGCGTCAGTTTCTACTGGCGATCATCATTGATGATTTTAGCACCTGAAAATCGACTGAAAAATTTGAAAAATATATAAAATTGAAAGGTATTTGAATGATGATTTTATTCAAGAAATAAAAAAAAGTGTTCACTCGCCTATGTTCGTATGCCAGAATATTGATGGAAGTAAGATATGGAGTAATTACTGATGCGCTTTTGTTTCAGAAATTTTACTCGACCTCTCGAGAACAGTGAGAGCAATGGTTCTGTCGATCTTCTAATAGATGGCGACATTGCACAATTATGACATCTGTCAGTTTTGAAATTGTCGCAGATTCTTCGAATTCAGAGTTGAATAATCCCACTGTGACATGTGCTCCGCCTACCTAAAATGCCATTTGCCATTTCATTTCCACCACTTTCCACTCCCCAGCGAGCACAAACATCCCTGGGATGTTTTGGGATGTTTTGAAAATGTTTGCATGAAGATGTTATTTTGAGACGTAATATGCACTGACCAAAGAGGTCTTTGAAGGATATTGAAGTATTGTTTTTGTTCTTCTGTGGCATTTCTTTGTTTGCCTACTGAGAGGTATCCCTGGGATGTTTTGGGATGTTTTAGAAATCTAGGCATGAGGATGTTTTTTTGAGGCGTAATATGCACTTCCCAAAGAGATCTTAGAAGGATATTGAGAGTATTGTTTTTGTTCTTTTGTGCCCATTCTTTGTTTGCCCCACCACAACGTCTCATGCTTACGTCACAATACGATGAATCCTGATTTGTTTTCGATTTTGTTCTTCTTGTTCGCAATTGGCATTCGCGTTTGCAGCGTGTCACGCTTACATCACGCTGCTAACGAACAGAAAGAAATTTGGTGAAGTTTATTGTGTTAGAAGACTTATTTAATTTGTAATAATGACCATCAGATGCAAGATGTGTTGTTCGGTGCCTCAGTGTAATCAATATATAAAAGTACGAATTCATCAATACACAGCTTCTCCGCAGTTGCAAAATTATGCATTGTGGAGAACATTTCAAAAATTGGGAAACCTATTTCCAATTATATGTCTGTGTGTAGTAAGCACTACTCAGAAACCGATTAAGAAGGTAATTTCATATTAAGAAAATATTTTTATGTTCAATCTATTTTTAATGCATTTTTTCATTCAAGGGAAATGGAATCCTAATGCAAAAGTTCATTTTGACAAAAGGCTTCAGAGAAGTACCTCGAAAATGGTTTTTTTTACAGCGATTCAATGTGCACAAGACGCGTTGAAAATGTTTTGTTGTGTCCATGAAAAGGCTTTAAAAAGAACTAGGGAGAAGGTAGTTTTGTGACATATTAAGGACATCTCGATAATTGCCGCCTGCGGCGGACATTGGCTGTTCTATATTAGTTCTATTCATGTGTGAACAGAACATCGCAGTGGAGGTTCAATGTCTCAAAATCTCGTACTTTTAACATCTCTGAGATGTTTTTGTGCTCGCTGGGTCGTCACAGTAGCGATAGCATCATCACCATCTAGCGAGAAAATGTAGAATCAAACGTCTCGCTCGTTGTGACGTAGAGGATTCATAGTAGGCGGTCGAGTGATTTTTCTGAAATTTTCAATACGTAATGATGGCCGAATACGCGCACCATATCTTACTTCCATCATTGCCAGAATAATTGTGAACAACTATTTCAATCCTTAGTAAACAAATAAGAAAAGTGAGGTTATGTTTCAATGTTTTACCTCCAGAGTCGGTCATTTGACAGATCTTGCACCCAACCCATTCTTTCGTTCGTTCCAGGGAGCTTACCGGCGGTGGGTGTGCAGCTCCCTGGTGCCTCATTACTCGCGATCTGGGCAGCGCGTGCGGCCCTGCCTCAGCGTGTGCGAAGACGTGGAGCAGCAGTGCCCCTACCTGGTGCCCGACCAGACCATTGCGCCGGGGGAGGCCGCCCATCCCACGCCGCAGTACGCCGGGGAACCGGCCTTTCTCTGCCTCGGTAAGTTCCAATTCACCCCAATACAGAATGTTCTTCTTATTAAATAATATTAAGCCGGGATTGGTGCAGTGGAAGAGCGTCCGTCTCACGACCGCAAGGTCGTGGGTTCGATTCCCAGCACGAGCAAGGAACTTTTTTCAATATTTTATTTACGAATTGAATATTGTAAAGTTTCGGAGCATTGGCTAGGGATAGTCCTGCACGATTCGCTGCTGCGTTCCAATTAACAGTGCTGCTCCTAAAGTGGCGCATGGAGTTAGTAAAAAAGCCTACACAGAACACGCAGAAAGAGATGATGATGTGGTTGTGAGCATCAAAGAAGAAGTAGAACGGTGTATGTAGGTGGGTGTGGAAAACTACCAGCTGAGCGTGAGAGCGGACCAGCTGCTTAGTGGACCTCGGTCTCTAACGGGGGTTAACGAGGATAGCTAGCAGGCCTGCCACTGCGCATATGGTAGTGAGTAGTGAGTACATTACTAGCCTACAAACAGTCATTGAAAACACTTGGGGTATGCAAAAAGGTCCCATTAGGGACTAGTTGCTGACGTGGAAACGTCCCCCACCAGTACCAGTAGGATTAAATAATAGTACAGGGTGGGCGAAATTGGGCGTTTTCACGGGCTATCTCAATAACTAAAGGAGTTATCAAAAAACCGATATACATGTTACGGGTTCGATTTTGAAGACACCTTGAATGACCCATTCGGAATCTTGATATATTCATTCGTTTCAGAGATACAGGGGGAAATTGAAAAATAGTCAATTTCGTTTTTATTTTCTGAGTGCTTTATGGTGAGGAATATTGAAAATTTTCGAAAGTTCATTCATGAAGTATGATGCGAAAAATCCATTGGCACCATTAGAAATTCCATACAGGGTGACATTAAAAAGATATATATTATTTCTTATACAACACATATATTTTGGCACAGTTAGAAATATTCGCAAAAATATACTCAATGTGTCACATATTTCATGGTTACGTATATTTGATCCGTATCTTCCGCAATAATCATTGAGTTTGGATTCATAAATTCGCAACTGTGAGAAAGAAGCCAATGATACACTCGAGGACCTTGGGGAAACAAAATCAGTGATAACACTGCTCGCCAGCAGCTATGGAATCACCGAGATTTCTGGAAAATGCTAAGAAGAAGAATATAGGTTGGAAATGACACTCTGTATATATTAACCAAAGGAGGAAAATGAATATCATTGGAAATTCAATTCATTGGTTTTAAATATTTCATTTCCAGACAAATGAATATTTGATTAAAAAAAAGAAATTATTCGATTTGATATCATTTGTATCAATACATTCAAACTATTTAAGATACAGAAATAAGACAAATAATAATTTACCTAATTAGGAAATTAGTAGGTGACGTTGGGAAATATAGCTCTATCGTTCTTTCGTTCTGGAGAATATTGAATGAAAGAAGAAAAATGCACTGGCGTATTTTTTCTGATATTCACTAGAGGCACCTTATGAGCCACATGGAAACATATTCAAATGCATCGATTATTTCGAATCCCAATAACTCGAAAACAGTTGCTCGCAGCGACCCCTACCAAGAATAAATTTGTTACATAAAAGTGTTCTAGTAATCTATTTTTCTACTAGGAAACGTTATACAGATACGCACAAAAAAGTTATGACTTTTCAAAAGACTCAAAAGACATGTAGGTGGCGCCACCCTCACGTAAGAGACAAACCAACATAAAATTTGATATTGTCATTGAAAAATACCCCTAGATACCGAATTTCATTCCAATATCACAATTATTTTGAAATTTATTAACAAAAAACAAAAATAAGAATTCAACTTTGACTCTCTGTATCTCAGGAACGAATAACTTTCGGACATATATTTATAGGAACTTCTCTTCTCATTTTGACGTCAGCAATATGCTCCTGAATTTTCTACACGTTCTTAAGGAACACCCTGTACATCAAGCGACAGAAATTCAAGATTTTTTCCAACGGCTCAACAGAAAATGATTAACCTAGGGCACCGTTGGGAAGAGAATTGGAGGCCCCTCAGAATGATGTCCCACTGAAATCCCCTCCTAGGGGGTTGAACCAAAAGATGGCAAAAAGATCCATTTTTAGTCTCTCCCTTAAATATAAAATTGACCTGTCTTTTCAATTCTCCATACTATTCACAGGAAGGAAAATATTAAGGGTGGGAAGTTTTCAGAATATCACCCGGTCTGTCGACTTTAACAGAACCTCAATGCCACATTCTGAAGATTTCATGATTATTTTGAACATCAAAATATGATGCAGCCCATTGCAGTCACATCTGTGTCTTGAATGATGTTGAAAAAAGAACTTACCAAGTTAGAATTATTTGAGGATATAAAAAGAATCATATACTGCGTTTCACATCACCCTAACCTATCTTGAAAAATACAAAACATACTTTTCCATCCTTGCCATGACAGCTGGTTGAGAAATGTAATCTGCATTCTATCCCAGAGATCAGAGATCGATCACGCAGGTAGATGCTTCGGGCTTATATAAACCCGTCATTAATCGATCACAAGATTCATAATTCTAGAAATTGTTTGAGGAGGTTATAGTAACATGGCCTTTCTCATTGTGATGAGAGACTTATTTTTTTCTAATTCCTGGGCTCATGCATTTTCAGCAAACAGAGATCATTTCAGGAGGCATGTAAATAATTTGACAGAGTATCGTCCGTTGTAGTGACGGTTAAGTTAGTGATAGGTTTGCGATGTTCCTACTATGTTAGGTTTGCAGTCATCGCCCTCATAATGAACATGGAATAATTAATGATAATTCGAATGTGACAGATGAAATCTGAAACATACTGTATAGTTCATATCAATGAACAAAAGTAATTGAAGAAAAAATGTCTGAAAATTAATCGAAACTATTGAAAACAAGTTTCAAAAATATTTATCATAGCGATTTGAAAGGACAGCAAAAATAACACGTGCGGGATATTTTTAAAGGAAAAATGTATGTAAACAAGCCACGAGCTATATATGCATCTATTCGATGAAAATAGTCACCTAATTATCTCGAACATATAAGTGGAGAACGCCATGAAAAGCCTGAAAATAGTTCTCTTCTACAGGGTGACTATAGATGCGGCTATTTGGCCTATAATAGATCATAAAAAATCAAATAAGTTGACAACATATCTTTTCGAATTCTAATCAAATTTTTGGCGGAGGCATCCAACAATTTAGAAGCATGCGTCAATAGGTGAACTATAAGTGAAGATAATAATTAATTATTATATTATACAAGTTTGTTGACATGCAAGTCTCACATATATCTGTACATAAGTTCATTACTCATTATGGATCTTGTTATCTCTTAGAGTATTCAAATAAAATTAAAAAAAAACAATATGAATTGGTTTCTATGGAAATGGAAATTATACAAGATCTCTTAGCGCAATTGAACGTTATGATTGGTTTAAAATCATACGAAGAAAATAATCATTATGATAGATGCCTCTTCACCCAATCATCAGCTGGTAGCTACTCGTTGCCTCTCTCGTCTGTCAAATTCATTTGTTGGTTCTCATCATCTTTCTTCAATTCAAGAGGCGAAGTATTCGTAACTGTCGTGTCGTCGAGATTGTCGCCCTGTACATGGGTTTGCATCAAGAGCCCAACTGTGAATAATTGATCAAGCAAGATGTCTGACAAATGCTCATATAGAGGGGGACAAATCAGCAAAATATCGAATAACGATAAGTAGGCGCTAAATAACCCCAAGTAGGTTCGTCAAATATTATTTTCGTGGTAGACTGACAGTTGTATTATTGGTAGTGAGTGCAGTTCTATGCGATGAACCTCGCAGCCACAAGCATATAGCCCACTAGTAGTAAACTACTTACCAGATGAAGTGGGACAGCCAAAAAATTGACTAATTTTGATAAGCTATAACTCGAATATTTCTTGGCCGATGTTGGATTTCCAACCAAAGGAAGAAAGCGTCATCCTTGGGCTATGCGTCATTGGCGTCGGGTTTTCATTTTTGCGATTCGTTCTCTTTGTACAGAGTGTGAATTAAGAGCCGGAAAAAATTCAAATTTTTAACCATTAATTTGGGAAATGTGAGGGACCCTAGAATTCTTTTTTAAATGTTGGGTGAATGGTTGGTCCGATACCTCGGGACGTCTTTAAGATTTTTTTGATAAATTGCGTTGCTATGGAAAAATCGACATTTTATGAAATTCCATTTTTATTTCAAAATGTGGCCTTTCCTAGTTGAACAATAACATCCAACATTTGAACTGCAATAAGGGATATTCCTACTGAAGATAATTAACACCAGTGGCGCGCAAAAAGGGGTTTATGATATTTAGAAACGAAAAATTCGTTTTTATTGGAAAAATTCAACAGTTTTATTGAGCGTTACAGTTGAACAGGTGTCATACCCTCAATCAGCATGATGTTGACAAATTCAGAGGCGTACAGGAAAGGGGCGTATGATATTCAGAAACTTGAAAAACGATTTTATTGAAAAAAAAAACGACAGATTCATTGATCGTCACAGTAAAAAAGTTTTCATACATTCAATTAGCATGATGTTGTCAAATTCAGAGGCGTGCAAAAGGTGATTATGTAATCGTAGACAGATTGAAATTCCAGTTTCATAATTTAATAAGAAAATCCATTAATACATTTATTAATTAATCAATTGATGCGATTAAAAATTTTCACATCATATGGAAACATTTTAAATAATTTTGTTGTTTTGTTCTCTGTTCGCCCAGTAAAAAAATTCTTTATCGTGTCATGATCTGGTTAGGGTAGTTAAAATAAAGAAAATAATCATCTAAAAAAAATGCTTCATCAGAAATAGGACGGGAAGATTGATAAAGAAAAAATACTTGAAAATGTTTTTGGGAGGCAAAAATTGGAGATTTTTTTGACAAAATTATCAAATTGTACGGTTCGAGAAACATCAGGAGCCAGAGTTAGGTTCCTGAATTTTCATTCATAAATGATGA